TCCATGGGCATTGCACGACACGGGTGCACTTACCTACATGCAGGCAATATACATGTACACATAAAATAAAAATAAAAAATTTAAAAAACTAAAGAAAGAATATCTTCCTGACTTCTGGGGTCATTATGAGACATCTACCACGTCCTAAAACAGTATATTTCACTGTGTAATTTTCTTCATCTGCTGTCTCCGGCACTGCCTTTTCACTGTGAAGCAAAGGAAGCTTTTCTTAGAATGAGTTCACTGAAAAGTCATGTTGTCCCTCTCTTGGCACAGGCTCTTGACTGTTGGGTGGAACTAAGTTTACTGTTTGGTTTCTGGTAGCTGAAACAATGTTAGCTTTGGCCACACTGCTGAGGATCAGGCTGCTACTCCAGGGATGGTCATGAAGAGATAGAAGCAGCTCTCCTGTTTCTACAACTCCAGGAATAAGTAACATTTTACGTTGTGCAACTGATGAATTGTTGCTTGTCTCTAGCGGCCATGTTCCTGTTGTGTGCAGTGAAGGTTCCTGAAGCTGTGTCGGACATGCTGATGTCAGAGTTCCACCATGCAGAGACTGTGCAGAGACTGAATGCTGTCCTCAAGTTTCACACACTCTGGAGGTTTCGCTATCAGGTCTGGCCCCGGATGGAGGAGGGAGCACAGCAGATTTTTAAGGTGAGGGACAATTATCTACATGGGGATCAGATTAACAAAACCAACCCAGGGCTTGCTTGATACCATGAAGCTTGGAGCCACAATGCATAGACAAAGAATGCTCCTTTTTCTCTCTGATTATATCAGTAAGCTTATCTTATCAAAAATGAATTCTGGTTGATTTAAAAAACTGAAATATGATCTTGAGAAATGGCTCAACAGTTAATCAAGAGCACTGACTACTCTTGCAGAGGGCCCAGGTTGGATCCCAACAACCACATGGTTGCTCAAGGTGTCTTCACTTCAGTCCCAGAGGATCTGACGCCCTCTTCTGGCCTCCATGGGCAATGCATGACATGGGTATACTTAAATGCAGGCAAACACTCATACACATAAAATAAGAATAATATTTTCAAAAAATCCTGAAATATATAAGAATGTAGAGTAAGAAAAGCAAGTCAGTAGCTGCCTGAAAACCTTGCTGCCCTCCCAGAGGTAAGCACATAAGTTGGGGTTATTCCCGTCCAGGCATTTTGCTGTCTACACATGTGCAGGTGTCTGGGAGGATGGGGTGATTAATGCAACTAATGATCACTTGGTTCAAACTCTTCATTTTACTGCTGAGTAAACTAAGGCTTAAAGCAGTTCCTCCTGTACCTTATAATAGGAAAGCCTGAGGAAGCACCCCTTTCTCTAATGTTCATTTATTCTCCAAGGAGTCATACAGAGCTTTAACACTAAGGCAGTTTGTGTCATAATTATACCTCAAACTCATTCCAGTTTACGTTCTACCCTACCTACCTCATTCTTCTAACAGATCCCGCCTCCCAGTATAAACTTCACCCTGCCCTCACCAGTGCTTGGAATGCCATCTGTCCCAATGTTTGACCCTCCATGGGTCCCTCAGTGCAGCGGGAGTGTCCAGGACCCCATTAATGAAGACCAGTCTGTGAGTAACAGGCATTTTATTTCCCATATCTCTACACTGCATGGAATGCATGTAAAAGACAGGGGCAAAGGATATAGGAGACAACTGGGCCACTCTTGTCATGAGAATATGATCACACAGAAAACCAGCCTCGGTGCCCTGTATTCTTGAGAACAGAAAAAAAACTAACATCTGGTAGTAAACGTCTGCAGACTTTCAAGCCAAGTTTTGTTTTATTATCAAAGCAGGAGCCACCTTATAAAGCTGTTATAAACATTGGGCATTGACTTCTTGGTCAAAGGGTTTGCTTTTTGCTGTAATTTGTTTATCATATTTGTTTAATTACAATGTATAAACCACCCGATGGTAAAGGACATCAGTCCGCAAGAGTAAGAAACAGAGTCGGCAGCTCCTACTTCCTTGTTATTCTTCATTTTATTCTCTTCCCCATTATCACTGCCAGCACCACTCCAAAACCTTAGGTCTTATGTTGCTCTCACATACCACTGCTGTATGTAACAGTTCAGTTTGGATCAGTTTGCAGACTGCAAACAAGAATGTGTGCCTTTTGAAAAAGATGAATCCTCAAATTATTCCTTTATCACCTATTGAATAACGTTCCTCTAAATTAACAATAATGTTTTTTAAAACTGGAAAAAAGCAAAAACAGAAAAATACATACTTCTGTACAAGTCCACCACTATTTCTATGAACAAATTCCCATAAAAATAATATAATTGATATATAAGTGCTAAATATACTTAATACATCTCACAGAAGGCCTCCAGAAAATGTATACCATTATACTTTACATATTTGACTTTATACAAAAGCATGATTTCTGTTGTCAGTGAAAAACTACATTTTTGTTCCAATGAGAACAAGAAATAGTTTATTCTGAACCAAATATGAGTGACCATGACTCAGGAAGATAGATTCAGGTTACTATAAATGACATATTCCTCTGAGGAAGAAGTTGCATGAAACTTTATAGTCACAGAGCAAAAGAAAGTCCAAAATCAGAGCATTTACAGAATACACTGGTGGAGACAAGCAGGAAGGAGGGCTACAGAAAAACGAGGGTGAGGGATCTCTGCTTTGGATGCTACCCTATAACATTTTCAGCTTTGGAGTTGGTGGAATCTAATGGTCTATCAAGTTAATACATCCCAGAGGTTTTATCTGTTAAAAGGATATTAGGTCAGGTACAGAGGTTGTTGGTTAATGGAGTATTAAGGAGATGGAATATAACCCAAGACAATTTTGGCTTTCAATCTGCAACATTCCAACTTTCCGCAATCAATAAATTCTAATCAAAGCCCGATGTGGTGGTGCAGGCTTTTAATCCTTTGATCTATGTAGCAAATTCCAGGCCAGCTGGAGACCCTGTTGCAAAAACCAAACAAACAAAAAACTCTAATCAGTTTACCTACAAAATCTTCAACACATATGTCATTTTATGATGACTTCAGTTCATACTATTTTAATTTATGTGGTTTTTAAATTTTGATTTCTATTCTGTGTGCTGAGTGTTTTGATTGCATGTATGTAAGTACACCTGTGTTGTGCAATAACCATGGAAGCCAAAAGAAGGCATCGGATACCCTGGAACTGAACTTATGGGCAGCTGTTTGCTCCCATGTAGGTGCTGGCAGTCAAACCCAGGTCCTCCTTAAGAGCAGCCAGTGCACTTAACCACTGACCCATCTCTCCAGCCCAGTTTATGTGTTTTTTTAAGTGACACTTTGAGAAGTAAAATAAATAATTGGTTCCTAAATTCACACCTCTTCAAAAGTTAGTTGAATATATGAAGTTTGAGTGAACATTTTTATATGTCATACGTAGATTTTCTGGGCCTTTGCAGTTTTCTTTTCTCTTTTCTTTTCTCCCTGTAGCCCTAGCTGACCTGGAACTCCCTATGTAGGCAAGACTGGCCTCAATGTCACAGAGATCTGCCTGCCTCTTGAGTGCTATGATTAGAGGCCTGTGCCACCACACTGGGCTGCTATTTTCTTTGGAGAGCTGTTTGTTTGAACTCTTTTTCATCGCAATTTTATATAAATTCTTCTGCATATGCTATCATATGTCTGATGGTCCTACAGTGAAGAGGAACATCCATCTGTTTTTTTCTCTCAAATGTGCAGTAATTCAACACCTGGTCCATCAATATATGTGTGTCTTTGGCTGTTCTCCAATACAGATGGTGGGGTCCTTTGAGCCAAACAACTCTTTCCCAATAATGGAGTTGAAACAGTTTCCTGACTCTATATCTAGTGTTATTTCTCTCATTCTACAATTCTTAACTTATGCCTGATAATAAACCAGCTACCTGACTCTAGAAGTTGATTGCTATTTGATCAAATTTTATTAACCACTGCTGTAACCACTCATGATGTTAAATTTTTAATCTTGTGCTAACATCCTGAAAAACAGGGTTTCTATGAATGTAGCCACAATCTCCTATCTCTAGACCCTTATGTGACTATAGATCAATAGAGAAATGTGGAATCATTGTTGTACATAGGTATTATTTCAACTTGGTAAGGAAGACCTGCAGTGGTTACTTCTTTGCTCTGACCACTGACTCTGTCCCTAAAGCTCTCAGCATCCATCTCAGCATAAGTATCATGATTAAGGATGGTCTAAGTAGAATAGTCATTGCACAGAATGGGTCTTGTCTCCTTTGTCTTTATCTTTCAACTGTGGGACAGTAGGTTGGTCTTAATGTTTTTCCCTTAGATCTTTTTGCTAATAAGTAGAGTCACATCTTGCATTCAGCCCGGGGACCACTATCAGCTCTCCTGGTTTCCATTCCGCAACATTCTCCTACAAAGTATTTCCAGTGTGCTGCTGTTTTTATCTAGAAATATTATTTACAGTGTGCTAAATGTAACAATGAAATAAATCATATAACTAAGTAGCTTAGGTGTCTTCCTCCTTTCCGTGTTCTGGCTTTCTATTTTATTAACCTTGTATAATAAATGCACTCCATTTAAAGCCAATTTAACAAAGTTTGGTCTTCATGTTTAAATAGTGAATTGATGTAACCTCAACAGGTTTCCAGAAATTGCATGCACTCTTGAAGAATTATTTCTCATGAGTGAAAAAAAAAGTTACCAAACCATAGAAATTTAATAGAAATATGACAAATAAATACTCATGAAATTAGATCAGAGATTCGCTAACATTTCCTGAAGGAAAGCTACCACCTTTGAGTAATTTGTTGGATCACTCTTTTTGCCTATGGCCTTTGCCAAAAGAGTCACATAAATAAACTTGCCTTCTTATCTCCACAGAAATCCTTTTCTGCCAGGGCTGTGTCTCGCTCCCACCAAAGGGCAGAGCACATTTTAAAGAACTTGCAGCAGGAGGAAGAGAAGAAACGTCTTGGCCGAGAAGCCAGCCTCATCACCGCCATCCCCATCACCCAGGAGGCTTGCTATGAGCCTACCTGCACACCCAACTCGGAGCCTGAAGAAGAAGGTGCCTTTATACCTGGGACTTCCTAAGGGAATGGTTTACACTGCAGGGGAAAGGACCTGCTTTCAGATAAATGATGACATTATGCGATGCCTTCCCTCGTCTATCTCTCCCTCACATTCTGACACTATTCAAAATCAGAGGAAAGTTTGATATCTTCTAAAGTTTAGAATTGTCCTCTTTCTTGAAGATGATAGCCATCTGAACAAATCAGTCTGAAAACAGGCCAAGCATTGGTTGTGTTTCTGGAAAGAGCTGAATCCCAAATGCATAACACAGTAAATATACTGAGTCTCCCTCCTTGAAAATGGATCTAGTCTATGAACCACTTTCAGCCTTCACAATTGCAGACAATTTGCTGATGGACCTCAGAAAATGGTTTATGAACCATTCTGACTTCCCTGATTGTTTGTTCTGCTTCTGTGGTAATTTTTAGAAGGGATTTTCTATTTCTATAGAAGGTTTTTGAGTTGTTTTCAAAATGAGTTAACTAAGCCTTATGGTCTGAGAGGAATGATGTAAGCACAACTGTGCTTGTGATAATGATCACTTTGTGTTGTAAAACCAAAATTCACATTCCTAATTTGTTTGCCAGTAGAAGAAGTTACCAATCTGGCATCCCGCCGGCTGTCTGTGAGCCCTTCCTGCACCTCCAGCACATCCCACAGGAATTACTCCTTCCGCCGAGGGTCAGTCTGGTCAGTGCGCTCAGCAGTCAGTGCTGAAGGTGTGTGCTCTTCCAAACGTGTTCCTTCTCGCTTACATGTTCTAAAACTTTTTCTAATATCAAAAGAGCTTTACAGCTTTAGCATTTAGATTTAGGTATATGAGTTAAGCTTTTTCTTATGATACTAGAATCCAATTTTATTCTTTTTCACAGAACTGTCTAGTTGTCCTGTTTATTAAAAAGATTGCTTTTCCCTCATAAATTTTCTTGGCACTATTTTTTAATTAATTAATTTTTATTTTTTGTATGTGAGTGTTATGTCTGCATGTGTGTAAGTGCACCCCTATCATGCAATGTCCACGGTGGGCAGAAGATGGCGTTGGATCCCTGGAACTGGAGTTACAGACACCTTGTCAGTGCTGGGATTCAAATCTAGGTTGTCTCAAAAAAAAAAGCCAATGCTCTTAACCAGTGAGCCATCTCTCCATTCCATTGGAACTATTTTTTAAAGCACAAGTTGAATATGAATGAAATGATTTATTTTGTTCTCTTGATTTTATTATACAGACCTGTTTCCATCTCTGTTCATCCCAATCACAGGCAGTCTGGACTACTGAAGCTTTCTAGTTATGCTTTTAAATTAGAAAGTGAATTCTCTCTCATTTTGTTTTTCTTTTTCAAAATTACTTCAGCTATTCTTGGTCTCTTGGCATTTCTATGTGAATTTTGGCAACAGTATACCAATTTCATGCAAAAAAAGAGTAGATGTATCATAGATCAATATGGTACATATTAAAGCTTCTTATCCATGAACATGGGATATTTGTCCATTCGTATACATCTGTATTTCAATAATGTGTGTAGTTTTTAATATCCAAATGTTGCAGTTTTGTTGAATTTATTCCTAAGTATTTTAACCTTTTTGTTGTCAGCATATAAGGACTTGTTCTAATTTCATTTACAAGGTTTTATATTGCTAATTTGTAGAAATTCAATCGACTTTTCTGTGTGCACTTTGTGTCCAGAAAAGTTGATGAAATTGTTTATTTCCAATACTGTTTTGGATATATTCTTAGGATATTCTATAATATAACATCATGTCATTTGCAAATAGATATCATTTGTATCTTTTTCTAATGAAGTTGCTTTTTATTTCTTGTTATTGCCTAATTTTCACTGGATAAGTTTCCAGTATAATGTTACTACAAGCAGTAGTAACTGCTTTAATTTGCACTTATCAGTCTTAGGTGGGAAGCATTTAATCTTTCACCATTAAGTATGATATTAATTATAGATTTTAAGTAAATGATCTTTATCATGTGAAGAAAGCTCCCTTTCATTCCTGGGGTTTTAGTGGTTTTGAATTTTTTTATTTTTATGTATATAAATGTTTTTGCTTGCATGAATATAAGTGCACCCATATAATGCAATGCCCACAGAGACCAGAAGAGGGCCTCAGATCTAGAAATGGAATTTTAGATAATTGTTAACTGCTATTTGGGTGCTGGGAACTGAACCCAGGCTCTCTGCAAGAGCAACCAGTGCTCTTAAGTGCTGAGCTATCTCTTCAGCCCTGTGTTTTTAGTGTTTGCATCATGAAATGCTCTCAGGTTTTACCAAATGATTTTTAAGTGTCTATTAAAGGTATTGTGTGCTCATTTCTTCATTTAATTAATATGGCATATTATACTACTTTTCATATGTTAGACAATGCGTGCATCCCATTCTGAGTATGTGTTATTCATAGTATGCATTCTTTTTTGATATAGTTCTAGATCCCATTTGACAATACTTGGTTGAGGATTTTTGCCTCTCTGTTCATAAGGGATATTGATCATCAGTTTCATTTCTTGTATAATGTCATTGTCTAAATTTTGGCATCAGAGTATATACACAGCTATAGTTTTCCCTCTATGCATTTTTGTACACGAATTCCAAAAATATTGATATATTGCCATTTCCTTTTCATATATATCAGTCTTTTTATTTCCTCTGTGAAATTACTATTTGATCCACAGGTTATTTGCCACATATTTGTAACTTTCTTAATTTTCCTACTGTTACTGATTTTTCTTTTCATTCCATTAGAGTTGGAAAGCATACACTGTATGATTTAGCCTTTTAAATTACTGCAGCTTTTTTACTGCATTCTGCTCTGAGCTGGATAGGAATGTTTCACCTACGAATGTCCTGAATCTGTTTGCTTACAGTGTTGTTCAAGTCTTTGGTCTCCTTGCTGAATTCTGTCTAGATGCTGGATTATTGAAACTACTGTAGTCAAGTGTCCAGTGATGATTATTAAATTGTTTAGTTCTAATCCTGTCATTCTTTGCTTCCTATACTTTAGAGCTATGCCTTAGGCATATATATGTGTGTCATTACTTTGTCTTCCTAATAAGCTGACCTTTTATCATTATACCATATCCTTCTTTGCCTCTACTAACGCTTTTCTCTTAAAGCATCCTGCAGCAGTGTTAATGTCACTATTACAGCTCTGTTCTGATTACTATTCATTCACATGGTCTATGCTTTTTTCTCCATCTTTGTGTATTTGAAACTATATTATGACTCATACATAGCATGTATTAGAGTCAAGTTTGCATGTTGTTTTTATTTTAAATCCATTCCACTAATCCTGTCTTTTGCTTGAAGCATTTAGATAATTTACATTTAATGAAATTATGAATAACTGAGATTTATGTCTGCAATGTAAAAATACAAATTATGTCACATAAAAAATTTTTAAATTATTTTAATTTTTTGTGCATGAGTGTATTGCCTGCATGAGTGTATTGCCTGCATGATGTAACTGCACCTGTGTTGTGCAAAGTCTGTGGAAGTCAGAAGAGGGCTTCGAATCCCCTGAAACTGGAGTTATGGATGGTTGTTAGCGGCCATGTGGATGCTAGGAATTGAACCCCGGTCCTTTTCAAGAGCATCCAGTGCTCTTAACCGCTGAGTCATCTCTCCATCCCTATAAAACAGTTTTGTAACATTTATTTTATAATAGTTTTCATGTTTTATGCAACATTTATAATGCATTAAAATATGATGTATTTACAATGGCTGTTTAAAAACTATTTCCTGATAACTCCACATGTAGGCTTCCCCTCACAGGGTCTATTGATTGTCTTTGTTCCTGCATATGAACAGTGTTGTCTTGTTTCTTTGCATGTCTCATATTTTTTATTGAAAAATAGTTTAAGTTCATAATGTAGCAGATGTCTATGTATCTATCTGTCTCTAATCTATCTCTTTATCAATTATCTGTCACCTATCTATCGTTTTTAAAGAAGTCCACATGCATCTAGTGGTAAGGCAGGACTGAGAACAACTAAGTAAACTCTCCAGGCCTTCACAGAATGTCTGAAATCTCAAATAATCACAGAAGTTGAAATAAAAGAATCAAAACTCATGGTTCTTTATACTTCATAAGGAATGCTTATTTTGTATTAATAAAAAATATTTATTTTCATATTAATAAGCTGTTAAACAGCTTTCCTGCCTTTCTTGACTGCTAAATATCACCCTTTCCTTTGTTCTAATTGAGGTAATTGTGAATTTATTACTTACTGCGTTTATTGATGACGATGAGGACAGCAGTCTGAATGGAGAGCTATTACCCTCAGTGCGTGTGCTTTCTGCTTCCCCGTATTCATTCTGATCGTCTCTCACACACACATATGTAACAAGCTGCATCTGTAAGCTGCCTTAATCTTTACTTAGAATTTTATATTCTCTGAGTTCATGTTACGAACTAATCCACCTATCTCAAATTGTCTATTCTCTTTCTCTGCAAAGTAAGAACAATGGCTGACCTCGAGAAGCCGGTTGGTTTTCTTTTTTTTTTTTTTTTTTTTTTTTTTTTTTGGGAGATTCATGTCTCCTCTTTCTCTTCCTGTCTTATCCTCCCTACTTGCTCATCTCATTTAAAGTGTCCCCATTTCTTTCTTGATAATTTCTGTCTGCTATGGTCCCACTTCTTTTGTGCTCCTTCTTCCCCTTTATTCCCATAGTTCTTTGTACAGCCATCTTCTCCCCCTCTCCTTTAACTCCCTCCTTTTTGCACATTTCTCCCTTAGTAACACCTCTCAAAATTGTTGTTTTCTTTTCTTGCAAAGAAAAAAAAATGTGTGTCCTCGAGAAGCCGGTTTGTTTTTTTTTTTTTTTTTTTTTTTTTTTTTGTCTTGGAAGAGGTACTTTGTATAACGTCACATTTTAAATGTTTATTTCCACAGAATTATGGATTGTGCTGTCAAATAGGATTTGAACTCCACTTGTTGCATTACACTTTTGTCTCTTTTCAGATGAGGAGCACACCACCGAACACACGCCAAACCACCACGTGCCTCAACCTCCACAAGCAGTATTCCCAGCATGCATCTGTGCAGCAGTCCTTCCCATCGTTCACCTAATGGAGGATGGTGAGGTGCGGGAAGATGGAGTAGCAGGTATCATACTATTCAGTTCTTACACTGCTCAGCTGATGCAAACACAGAAGGACCACCAAAAGTCAAACAGTGATTTTTGCCTACCTTTGAAATCTTAGTTATTAATTGGATATCACCAAAGCCTTCATCCCTACTTGATTAAATTTTCAGATGTAATACTAAAAGATGTAATACTAAAAAGAATACTAAAAAAAAACGATAAGAGGTAAAGATGAGTTATATATACCAAAAGTTAATTCTCTCCTCTCTCTCTCTCTCTCTCTCTCTCTCTCTCTCTCTCTCTC